TCAGGGATGGGCGTGTATTTTACTCGTGTATTTTACAGGTTTTTTTACATGTAAAAATTAGAATAATTTACAGGTTCTTCTTAACTGTAAAATATGTAAAAAATGTAAAGTTGTAAAAAATTAAAAAAGGCATAAATAAAAAAATAAATCGCAAGTCGCAAGTCAAATATTATTTATTGTCAACGTTAACCAAATGCATTTATTAAAAAATATAATATTGACTTATTCAATCTTCACCCTCAAGCGTAGTCTCAACTTCACTTTCATCCCAGTCATAATTTTGACAATTATCTTTAATTTTTAAGGTGTAGTAAATATATACTAGTTTTTTGGATTTTTCAAATCCAAGACGATTTCTAATTGAAGAATGGATATATCCCCAATTTGAAAAAACCCTTTCGATTTCGCCCGAAGACGGTGGGATTTTTAATAATTTTAATGCAACTTGTGGTAACTCCTTGTTTTCCATTTCTGCCATTCTCCAAAATAATAAAGGTTTTGTTATATTTTTCTCTTTGATTTGTGGAAAAATCCCAACATTGGGCGCTAAGTATTTTAAACAAAAAGGCATGTATTTCTCTAAGATGCTCTGAATTGAGTTTTTTGTTTTCATATACAGGATGCAAATAATATGCAGTTAATGCATATACATTTAATGCCATTTTCTTTCTGGCAGCCAAAGCCGCAGAATATTTATCTTTGAAATTATCGGGCAAAGTTAATTCAAGCCAAAAGTGCACGGCATCTGCTATTGATGCGTCTTGGGACTGACAATTATTTATTAGCTGGCAAATAGGCTCATATAAAGATAATTGATTTCTTACTTTATCGATGAAATCTTCATCGAAAAGTAATGATACTACTTTTGATTTAATTCTTTTACAAGTTGAATCAGTTTCAGCTGCAATAACCCTCATTATTCTTAAATTATCTAACAGACATTTGTATGATTTTTGATAGCTACACCATCGTGTTTCACATGGAAGTTTAATTTTGGTACCACCTTTTTCTGTTATAGCCCTTTCATTGTCCGCTTGTTTAAATTCCTTTAAAACAGTTGTAACAGAATTGGTGCATTCTTTATCCTGTACATCTTTGGCTAGAAGGTTGGCGGTGTGGCTATTGCACGTTGAATGCCAGAGACAATGATTCATATCTTTCCCCATTCGTACCATTGCACTTGCATTGTCAGATATAATTGCATATATTTGGGAATGGTATGTACGTTTAGCCAAATCTATTGCTTCATTTATTATGTGAACCAGTTTTTGGGCAGTTTCTGCTTCACCAGTTAAATCCCAAGCATTGAGGAATGCTCTTTGACCTAAACAGTAAAAAGTTTAATTTTAAAGGATTTCACAAAAATCTGGTGTATAGCAAATAATTCCATGATTTTTAATTTAAACAAAAAATGCTCTAATTATAATAATCGATAATCAAAAATAATTATTGCAATTAACCATAATATAACACCAAAAATGTTGGATTTATTTGGTATTGTATTCCAGATTTTTGTTGCACATTGCACCCAGTATAAATCAGAAAAATAATAAAGACATAAATATACCTCCAACTGTCTGAAGTGTACATGTAATAATTTTTGAGTTACTTGAGGTGTTTTTCCATCCATCAATAAGAACTACAGTTTCTTGATCTATTCCAAATTTAGTTTCTGTGATTAAGTTATTGTATACAGAATCCAATAGAGTACTTGATAAAGTTTTTCTACCAGGTTTTCTTTTTGCATAGGCAGGACGCAATTTTTTTATTAAGTTGTCAAAATATTTAGATTCAATTACATTAAATGGAATGTTGCAGGCAAAAAAAAATTCTGCTATTGCTTGTGTAATGCTGTCTTCTTCTTTAACAGAAATGGTGTCTATATAGTTATCCAGTTTTGACGCTTTTTTCTTTGATTTGGCGGTTTTAGACGTAGTTGTTGAACTTGAAGGTCTACTTGCACTTGGTAGAGAATCCATGGTAACGGCTGTTGAAGTTGAACCTGATGGCAACATTTGCAACATTTCACTTGTACTACTTGTATTACATACGTAAACATCAATCGTATTATTAGCTTCTTCAGAGGCAGCCTGAATATTTAAGAAACAATATAAAACTACAAGTTGTAAAACAACTAATTAGATGATTACTGCTTACCAATTCTTGTACGTTGATATTGTCGTCATAGTCGACATCATCCTGTTTTGCTTGACCACTATCGATTTGGCTAATATTCATATTATCATTATCAATGGAGTTATTATTATTAAATTTCTGAATCTCAGAATCTGATTCCAAACAAATTGACATTGAACTGGATTCAACAGATGGTGATAAGTTTGTTTTTATAATTTTGCATGACTTTCTAGATAGATAAAAAGATACTAGTTATTAGTTATCGATTTTACTAAAGTGGTTGGTTTGTACGTATATGCAAATATGCTTACCTGTGCAATTTCAATCTACTAATAGCTGTGTTTTTTAATAATTTGTTACACACGTTACATTTTGCATTGTATTTACTTCCGGATTGAATGTATTCAAATGCCAAGCTAACATACTCATTTTTTCGTGGCCTGCCACAAGCGCGATGACGAGCGCGACTATCATTGTCATTGCCAATATTGCAAGTAGAATTAAGTTTTTCACTTTTAGAAGTCATTATTAAATGAATTCGATACTAATCGATACATAGAACATAACCTTACTTAAGTTGCTGGGGTGGGTTAATACAAAATACAACACAAACCCACATAACCTTATTTAGTGGTTATATTGACATCTGACGTATTTAACTGACATAACCTCAAATAAAATACGTGATTTTTTCGTTATTTTACGTATTTTACATATTTTACAAAATTTACATGTAGAAATTGTTTTTTACATGTTCTACATGTAAAATAATAAATTAGATTTTTTACATGTAAAATACCAACCCTGGTTACCTCCAAGGAAAATTTTTCCTTTGCAAAACTACCCAATGCCTGTACTATTAAGCTATGTTGTATTTTATGTGGGACAGTGCAAGTGCATAGTAGTTTCGTAACTACGAGCTTTGTTCGTTGGGACTGCACTACTCTGCACGACATGGCACTCGCATGACGTCATAGTGGTGCAACAAAATCTGCACTAACTTGCACCCGCTGCACGAAATTGCACTGCGCATGACCCAACGAACAGTATGAGTGCAACTGTACTAAACTACACTATCCCCAACGAACACACAATATCTGCACTAAACTGCTTAGTGCAAGTAGTGCAGTCCCAACGAACAAAGCTATCGTTATTGCGAGTTATATGAAATTCCTGGTAAATTTCTAAATATTCTGCAAAAATCATTTATGAAATTATATCTATAATTCAACAACACTGTATAATTTTTGTAACAAATCTAATTTAAAATTTTTCTTCGGACAAATCACTTCACATTGAATAATCAATGAGTTGGGTGGAATAAATTATAAACGATTAATTAGTACACGACGCGACGGTACATAATTCTAATTAGAAACTATACACGAGAATATTTAATTTTTTATACTCCCCGATACCATCTACAACCCAATTAAATTTTATGACATGTTTATATAAATTCATGACCCCAGGTGAAGGTACGTTAAAAAGTTAGTAAACTAGGTCAAATTTTTGATACAAACGTATAAATTAAGGATCGAAATGTTCATTATCTTTCCTTTATAGGTATTTATGTAGATATAGGAAAATTGATTTTGCATTTATATTACTAGTAATATTCCACAATAATTTATCATTTATGAAGGGAACCCCTTTTGATGATAATTTCAGTATTATAATATAATTTTATAATGATGTTATAGATTAGATTTAAACATGAAATCGTTTTATTACCACATGCAAAGGTTCACAGCTTTTTTTTTAAGCAAAGCTTTCCGAAAACCTTTTGGACGCACCGTATGGGATATTTTGAGTTGAGCTTTGGGACAGCTAGTTTTGGGTATTACAGGAAAAACTTGTTCCTTAATCCGGGATTACCGCTTAAAACTAGGGATGTGTCCTTTTCAATTTGGCTTACTGACATTTATGGGGTACTGCACAATAAATTTAATAACTTTTAACATCACTCGTTTAATCATATTTCTATCAATATTTGATCACTGGTAGTATATGATTAATATTTATTATAATACTATAGTATTAAATTGTCATTTCAAACCATTATAGAAAATATATCATTGAATATTCCTAATGGATTTAGAAGTTACCGCTAAAACGTTTCGTGAATAGTATTGCTTTTAGATTCTAGTCTGGTCACGAATGATTTAGGGTGACTTGTATTTATTCGAATAACGCCAGTCCTCTCACATAACTTCGAGAAAGATAGTTAGCAAACATTTATTGTACCCACGTCATGTAGCGGTAACCCCACAGTGAGCAAACTAAAGCAGGGAACAATGTCTACGAAAATATCCGTGCTAATTAAGGGACCCGCTTCGAAATGAACAGTCAGTCGGTTTCGCAAATCCAGGAAGTAGCTCAAGCTGACTCCCTCTCCACAGCTCTGTAAATTCGCACAGAGAATAAAGCAAGAGCGCACTGTCACCATTTTAGGATTGCCAGACGTTTAATGACGTATGCTAATTAGATAACCTAATTTTAAAATAAACATTCCGGAAAGTACTACTAGTTTAGTATTCACGTTATAATGAAAAACCAAAACGTTTGAAGAAGTAATCTCATTATTGAAAAGGATTCCGCAGGGAGAATGAAAAAGGAAACCGGAACATCGATCCCATTATCAAATTAATGACTTATTTATGCTTGAAACGGAAACGGTAGCGATCGTATCGCCGAAATTTGTATTCCCTTAGCAAAGAAAAAAAAAACTTTCAGGATTTGCTTTTTTTTCCGAGAGCAAGATTGATGCCTTCGAGGCAGACGCCCATTTGACTTTGTAAATACTTTGTTGGAGAGAAATATCGGACTGAGTTTCGAGTGAATTGTTTGTACAATCTGCGTAATTGTTCGTTCTTAATTAAACCGTAATAGCACCTTTTTTACCGACTAATCATATTGTTTAAAAACGTTTTACAACATATACAGGGTGTCCCGTTAAGCGTACGGAGCGGCTGTATCTCAATAACGGTAAGGACTAGAGGTTTGGGAAAAAAATCCTTATAAGCAAAGTGGGCAAGAGAAATAGCTGGAAATTATTTTGAAGTTCGTAATTCGACCGCTAGGGGGCGTAACTGCCATAGAGAAACATAAAATTCCCGCTATCTCAGAAAGTTAGACGATGAGCTATAACTTTGACAACATCATTTAGTAGCTTGGATAATACCGCATCGCTTTTGTTTTGCAATATTTTTCATATCTGTCATAATAAGGGAGGGGGAGGCCAATGCGTTTTCAAATGTTTACATTTTAATATCTCCTGGACCATTCAACCGATTTGAATATTTTTGGTCTTGTTTGAAAGAGCATTTCATGCTCTTTTAAAAGATATTTTCAGTAAGACCGCTTGGTTTAAAACAAATAAGCTAGAGGGCGTTATCTGCAGCGGTTACATATTTTTGTGATTTTTGAAAAAAAGTTAAATGGAACGGTACTATTTACTTCACAGACCGTTAATCACCATAAAATTTGCTAAATATTAGTGAAAACCGCATCTCGATATCTCCATCCATTCTCGAATTATAAAAGAAAATGTTAAAAATTCGTATATCTTAATCGGATCAAGTTACCTTAGGAAACAAATAAGAGAGAACAAAAATTTTATTATCTAGAACCTTCCTTCACACTTTATCCAAGCTTAGAACTGCTTCAAAACTACTTTTGAGGCGTGTTGAAAAGCCAACGGATCAATGAAACATCAACAATGATAATAAAACAAAATAAACCAAAACACTTAGAATAACTTAAATTTTTGGCAAAAATAACTCACTAATGTGCGAAATGCCTTCCATAAACCTCGATGCATTTATTTAATCTAGTTTCGACGAAAAAAAAGCGCTGCTTAAGTCTCGGCCCTGGACACGTTTCTACTGGTATTTAGTGTTTTGTCATATTTTCCCTGGTTATTGGTTTTTCTTGAAAAGTCAGGTCGTTTAGTCTACCCAATAGATAAAGGGGTGAAAGCAATGTGGGTTTTGCTCGAACCAAGAATGCATATTATGCAAGTTTACATCAGCTTGTGGACAGATGCTTCATGCATCCATAGCATTTGTGATAAAAGGTTTGGATTTGCCCAAATCATATTTAAAAGTCAATGGTAATAGTTCAGTCTGTTATCATAATCGGTATCTGTTAAGGCCTGATGTAAAACAACGTGGTGGAGATATTATTCTCTTGAGAACTCTTGTGGACAATTGTTTTCGGAGTTCCCAGATTATGTGGGATCACATTGCGCACCAATGTGATTTACGAATTCATAGAGATGTCTGAATGGGCTACACGTTGCCAGTTTTCCGTAATCGCTAAGTCAATCTTAAAAACACTTCTAGAGAAAAATGTCTTTCTTTGTCGTAATTGCATTGCACATTTTTGCCATGCAGTTGCATCGTATTCGAAACATTGAAAATAAATCATCATACGCTCTATCATACGCTTCTGCGTTAGTAAATGACATGTTTACAGTTACCATGGTTATGTGATTTGTTTTTCTCGATGAGGTAACTGGATCCGATTGATGGCACTCGAGTTTTTAACATTTTCTTCTATAACTCGAGAACGGGTGGCGATATCGAGATGCGGTTTTCACTAAAATTTAGCAAATTTTAAGGTGACTAAGGGTCTGTGAAGTAAATAGTATCGTTCCATTTAACTTTTCTTCAAAAATCACAAAAATATGTAATCGCTGCAGATAACGTCCTCTAGCTCATTTGTTTTAAAGCAGACGGTCTTACTGAAAATATCTTTAAAAAGAGCATAAAATGCTCTTTCAAACAACACCGAAAACATTCAAATCGGTTGAATGGTCTAGGAGATATTAAAATGTAAACATATGAAAACGCATTGGCCTCCTCCTCCCTTATTATGACAGATATGAGAAATATCGCAAAACAAAAGCGATGCGATATTATCCAAGCTATTAAATGATGTTGTCAAAGTTATAGCCATCGTCTAAATTTCTGAGATAGCGGCAACTTTATGTTTCTTAATGGCAGTTACGGTCGAATTACGAACTTCAAAATAATTTCCAGCTATTTCTCTTGGTCACTTTGCTTATAAGGATTTTTTTCCCAAACCTCTTGGCCTCACCGTTCTAGAGATACAGCCGCTCCGTACGCTTAACGGGACACCTGTACATACAGGGTGCCCATTATGTATGGAATATTGTATATATCTTGGCAAGTATCAACTTTATAAAAAAACATTTTATACAAAAGTTGGTTAGTATAAAAATTAACTTAATAAACTGTTTTTACATTTTTTTCAAAAATTTTCTAGTATAAGGGTACTAAAATTTTACGTCATCGTAAAGAGAAAAAAAATCTCTATCAAATGAGCCTAACGAAAGGGTACATTGCCATTAAAAAAAAATTAAATGTTATTCGTTGCTCATTTGTTTTCTGAAATAAAAACAATTGAATGGTGTCTTATTATGGCAAATCAAATATTAAACAACTTTTGTATAAAATGTTTTTTTGTAAAGTTGATACTTACCAAGATATATACTATATTCCATACATAATGGGCACCTGTATAATCTCGGAATCTTTTATGTCTTTAGTTTCCGGAATCTTGGACGTTTCCAAAAGGATAGAAAGGACAATGGTCTAAGAGGAAAGCGGTTTTCCGCCGTGATGCTATTACCATGCT